TCCACCTCCACAAGCAATGATGCTGTGACATGCAGACGGATCTGTGCAGCCACAGTCTAACAGCGTCCTCACAGCTGCAATTACATAAACTCAGAGATAAATGTAGAGGCACGTGTACAGGAAGTGGGACTGCTGACTAATTTATTTAAGTAAAGAAATATTAAACTGGGGTTTGGGAAAATACTGATAGACTGAAACCGACACTGTTTTATGATATCATCATCATTTCTTCTCTAGTGACTAAAAATGTAAATCCTTCTCTTAAAAAAAACCCTCAATATGTCATAGTGCTTATAGTATCGCAATATATCGTATCGCTGCTCCTGTACTTATAGTATCGCAATATATCGTATCGCTACTCCTGTATTGTGATACATCTCAAATCGACAGATTCTTGCCAGTACACAGCCCTAGTCAGGATGGTATTGTTTAAGTTAAAAAATCATCTACTAATAATACCCTGCACCGACTCTGTGTGTTGGCTCAAACCCTGGTGTCTCCTCAGTCTGCTGGAGAAACACAACCCTCGACTTCAAACTGCCAAACTTGTTGTGCAGCACAGTTATTCACACTGTCATGTGACCTTACAAACTGTAATTACAGGAAAGGCTAAGAAGCTTTCAGAGCAGTTAGCATGTCAACGGTCTGTTAAGGTAGGACGACAGAGAGACAGCGTCTACAGAGACGGTCCAAGGGTTTTCTTATAAATAGTATCACTAGTCAGTCATTTCTTCCTCTTTCTTTGAAACCAAGCCACGGTTACAAAAGAACATTCCAGACTGCAGGCCTTCTTCAGACCAGGTTGGAGAGCAAAATACAGAGCTGTGGTCCAAAAACACTGTTCGGTGTTTCAGAAGCAACAGCTGACATGTAAACACGGCATCATAACTTTTATTAAACTTGTCCTGGTCCTGCCACTAGGGGTGTAAGAAAACATCTACACCCTGAAGTATTGTAATATTTCTGTTGCTGATACCATAATCAATGTTCTACAATACTGTATGGATTTTTTTAAAATTTACAATTAACAAATATAGAACACAAAAATAAATGCAACAAAACAGACTTTGCTGTCTTTACAGACACAAAAATAAATGCAACAAAACAGACAAAGCCATACTGCTGAATATGGTAAAAGGAATAAGAGTCTAAACTTTAGACTGTTGTTTAAAATGAATATATTTTTCCTTTCTTGGAATCTTGTGAAATAAATGTTTTTAAAAAAATGTCTTACAAACTACACCACTGAGAAGTACTGCTGAAGAAACACAGCACATTGTTTTTCAGCAGTTCTGAAAAGTTCTCACCCATAACAAGGTAGAGATCTGATCTAGATTCACCGCTTATCTGATACGTACAGGAAGCACTGTCATTGTTTACGCCGCAGCGTCACTCCAGCTGTGACAGGAACAATGTCACTAGTGTCTGACTGACAAGGTTACACCTATTTTAAACAATACAGCCGGGTGTTCACTGCACTGCTGCAGCCCCAGGGTCCAGCGCTCTGAGAACATTTGTTCGACGATCTGCATCGTTCATGTGCAGCACTAGTAAACAGTGCTGCACATGTCTGCTGGTTCTGTCCGGTGGGTCAGAGGGTTCTGTTCATGTTGGAAATGAGTGGCACCATTAAGCAGGTTTAGAACTAGTGTATTTGTAATCAGTCACTGAGACATCAGTTCATTAAACTGTTTTCATCAGCGACTGTGTTTCAGTATTGATCATCGCTGTAAACGTCTGATGACTACAAATGATTTCCCTCCATGATGGATGATAGTAGTAGTTTTTATTAAAACTATTTATGGGCAAACACTGTAAATACTAAGGTTAAACATCTAATATAATTATGGCATTTATATCATAGATAGATCCACAGGAATCTGCTGCCAACCCCTCACCCGCCAACGCTGTCTGTGCCCACGACCTCCAGCCACATTGGAATACTACACATCAAGGATGGCACTGTATTTGGTTTACCTACAAAGTTTGTAAAGTAGTAAAAATATAAATTAAAACCAGTGGATTTCTGCAGAAGGTGCAGACTGAGGTGGAGAAATCCGACTTTGATTTGGAACTGACGTGTTAAAACATTTAAAGCAACAAATACTCATCATAGTCTGCCACAACTGGACAGAGCAGAACCTGCAGCTTAACGTTCCTACCTCTGCCTACTACAACATGACATGAGTCTGTGATTTGTGATAATAAGGCCGACAATAAGTCCCTCAGCAGGATTTGTTCAGTTCTGACCCGTTGAGATTAAGAAGTTTGCTCCTGACCAATCAGCCAAGCGTGGACAATTCAATCATACGAATGATCTCACTGCTCTAGATGCTTGCTCTGAAAATAATGTTTCACTAATATTAGGCGTCCAGATTCTGACGTCAGCACGGCCCACTGGTCGGACTGCAAAGTGTCACTTGCTGCAGAGTCTGAATCATGCAGGGCCATGCTCAGAACAACAGTCTAGACAGTGTGAAGGACACTTGTGCAGCTCGGGGGCTCGACCAGCTGACATACGGGGGAGGGTATGGCGTGACAGCAGAGGCCACGCTTCTGCGTATTTTTAATCATCTTCCTCGGACTGAACTCTGAGGTGAACTCTGAGGCGTCCTCTGCTGCAGCAACTGCAGCCAAAGACATGCAGCCGCCACAGTGAGGAACGTTACGGCCTCAGGAGTGACGTGATTCTGACGCAATCTCTACCCACCGAGTCAAATTAACTGGGGCCTGTGATGAAACCTCTGAAATATAACTGAAACAAACCAGGAAATTTTAATAATTGGAACATTCAGTGCGTTTATAATTTATTACATAGTAACGTTTGGTTTCATTCAGGTGACTCTAACTTGGACTCAAAAAGAACAACAATGAATCTGAGGTTTTATTGTAATAAATGGTTGAAATTTAGACAAGAAACTGGCGCAAAAAATAAATGTTTGACAGTAAACTGTAAATAAAAAGAATACATACAGTGCTGTTGAATATCGATACGGTATTGTAAAATGGTGTACAAAGGCCTTTTCTGTCAGAGACTGGCCTGGACCGGGTTAATCATTTCTCACACCACTGTAGAGTTTGTGTGTACGGGTGTGTACTTCAAAACCCTCAGCCAATGGTTTCAAACCTGATGAATTAATCGGCTCAAGAAGGGGAGCGGGAACCTGTAGCTCCCGCTCCCCCCTCTTTAAGGAGCATCAGGGATGGGCCGTCTATTGGAGGAGAAACAAATGAAGCGGACACAGTCACAGTCAACACTATGAATCAAAACCACTTAACCATGACGTGCACCAGTTAAGAGTGAATATTGATTAACTGGTTTAAGAGGAGACACATCATGGAGAGTCAGTGTCGTCTGGTGAACACATGTCCGCAGCTCACAGGAACAACTTCCTGCCATCCCACTGTTATTGGGACACAATCAGAACCAGAGTCCAATAGTGTGATCTAATTATGAACAGCCGTAACACATCACAGATTTGACTTGTGGCTGGTGAAATTCATCCCATCATATGGCAGTGCTACACTGACTGTTGCCTTTGCTTGTTTACTCCCACCTGATGTTAAGCATTTACACCCAGCTTGATGCTAATACTTTAAGCTCTTATCTATTTGCCCGGTGAATCCAAACAGCCTAAACGTGTTTGCTATTCAAAAACTGCTGTCCAAACAGCCTAAACGTGTTTGCTATTAAAAAACTGCTGCTGCTGCACAACAGTTACAGAAAGATGAAGGCTTTTTTTTAGCGTTCAAAGGCATTCCTTTAACAAAACAGTGACTAGTATTCAGAAACATCAATGCTGTACAATAATAACACACTAGTTACATGTCTACAGGAGCGGAATTTAAGTTTAAAATTCAAATATTTACCACCCCCACCACGACCAAGAGACTTCACACAAAATATGTCAGTCACTCACTTAACTTTAAACAGTGGTAGTTGTCACAATTAACACAACTACACCATCAGGTACAGAGGACACAGACCTGTCATACACCATTTAACTGCACTAGACGTTTTTTTTAAAATCACAACAGCCAATTAGATGGAAAGATAAAAGATGACAACAGAACATAAAAGAAGGCAGTGTCACTGCTGACAACCACAGGTTCCTGTTACCCATTAAAATGTGGAAATTCCTCCAAGCTAATTGTCATATTTTCGAATATTATCCTTTGTGAGTGTAACTATAAATGTAGTTCTTCCTCTACGGTGACTTATGGCGGTTAGCACCTTGCATCACTCAGTTTGTTATGCATGTTATTTTTCTAGAATGTTCTTGAATATTTAGTTTTCTTGAATAAATGTAGGTTTTGTTTTGTTTTTTTTTTGTAATTTCGCCCTGTCGTCCATCTATCGTGTTTTGCCTGCTAGCTTAAACAGCTTCGATACCTGCTGTTACATCTTATGGGATAAATCATGACGCCAAATTTCATTCACAATCTGATAGATTTAGTGGGCCCTCTCTTATCACACTTATGCAAATTTGACCAAAAACAAAATTCTAGATATTTGTTGATAGCTGTAGCGTTAACATTATTTACGGCATATTTATTAAGCCGACAGTGTAAACACATTCGGGAGTATTCGTGTTACTTTACCCTATTCACTGTTGTGGGCGGTAGCTAGCAGCTAGCAACGTATTCGGGTAAAATTATTGTCAAAATGAAGTAAACATTTAACTTTAGTGAGCTGCTGTGTAACCAGTGTGACCAGGCTTGTTGTCATTTAAATGCTGCCTCTTTATTTGATGTTAAAAGCCAAATTTTGTGTAAGGTGTACGTGTTACGACATTAAAATGCCGGATTTTTTCAATGGAGTTTGGCATTCATCCCGACAGCCAGTACATGCTCCACCACGCTGCCCACAACAGAAGCCGAGCCGCTGTGAACCAGCAGGGGCTTTTAGCCTCCAATCTCCCCCTTAGCACTACACCCGGCTCCAAAGAGGCCCGCGGCGGCTCCGCGGCCTCTCCTGCGGCTGGTCGCCGGTCTCTTACCTCTGTGGGACGGCTGATCTCGAACAGGTCGAGCCGGTTGGCGTTCCAGTGGTTGATGATGTCAGCCAGTTTTCTCCTCTCCTCCTCCCTGTTCCCCGACATGGTGGACGGCGTCGGTTGGTGACCCTGTCCGTTCCTCAGTGAGTGCGCCTCTATGTACGCGCTGCAGAAATAAAAACTTTCCGTGCACACGTTTTTAGTCCACAAGAGGGATATCCACAAACACCATGGGCTCGACGACTTCTACTGCTGCCGACGACGCCAACAAATCTCTATTTCAAAATATACGGGACTCGGGGCCGCCCGGTTCACCGACTGATCGACCTGCTGCCTGAATCTGATCTGCTCCAGAGTCGCGCTCCCGGTGTCGCTCTGCGCGCATCGGGTGCACTCTGCTCTGGACGCAGCTGCGTGGACGCGCACGGCGGGTTAACTATTTGGAGTCCGGTCAGTGTGACGAACATTAGAGCGCGCACGCAATTGTTTGTGCACGGGAGCAGGAAAGAGTTAATAAGAAACATTCAAACAGGATGACGTCATTTATAGGCACTTAGACCTTTTTTTTTCTTTTTATTCGATTAAAATGTATTTTTAATATAATAATACATTGACAACGTCAAATGAAGAACGCTGTTTTAAGTATTATTTTGCTTTTAGCGTTAGTGTGTGTCATGGTTGGTTACAAACGGTACAATAAAATATAACATTTCACTCTTTAAATTATAAGCATAATATACTTTAAACTGACAGGTTATTTATTTTTAATTCGTTTTAGCAATTTTAAGACAATTTTGAATAATTTTGTAAGCTGGGGCTGAGCTGTATCAAACGTTTATGTCAGTTAATTACTAAAGTTCAAACTATCTTTTAACAATAGTTAAACTATATTTTACTATCATTTATCGAGATACAGATATAATGGTGGTGGGTCTCCTTACCAACTTAGAAAACAAGATAGTAAAATACAAAACTCTTGAGTCTTTAATCTCTTAATTCAACACTGAATGTTTAACTTTAAAATAAGTGTTACCTGCAAGTTATTTAAAATGCTGTCACTCCTAAAGAATGGTTGCCATTCGCGTGACCTGACCCATTTTAGACTTTGTTTCAATAAACATTTACCTTTTAAACATTAAATATATAATACAATTAGCACTTAGCAAACCAAATTCTTCATGGAAAACCAAACACATTTTAGGTTTGCTTTTGGCAAAAACAGGTGCAGCAGCAGCAGCAGATCTAGTATCTTTTACCATGTTTAACATGTTAAACATGTTTAACACGAACTGTCCACAGCATGTGATATAACTGACAAGTTTGTTTCTCCAACTGTAGCAGAGGAACCATCTTTGTTTCTTCTGACACATTTTCTCTTTATTTATACTTTTGTGGTCAGCTGGTGCTAAATATAACACGGCATTGGATAAAGTGCCTGCACTGTAGCTCCTGCATACAAAAGGATTAAAACATGTAAATTTTGCCGCTGTATTTGATGTTATTTTTGTGTAAGGTGTATGTGTTACGACATAGTAAAATGCAGGATTTTTTTCAAAGGAGTTTGGCATTCATCCCGACGGCCAGTGCATGCTCTACCACTCTGCCTACACCAGAGGGAACTAAAAGTAAAACAGAGCAAATAGTTTGACAAAAGAAAAGTCAATGCAAACAAATGCAAAATTCTTATGGCTATTTAAAGTTGGTACATTTTCACATACGCGTGTGTGTGCGTGTGTGTCATTATGGTTCAGAGCAGCTTCTTATTTGCAGTGAGCTGTCAGTGACCCTGTCAGGTCAGCAGATATCACACAGAGACATGTGAAATGTCAGGAATACAGAGGTGCTGATGATCACAGGGACAGGAATAGCAGCGTGACACACACACACAGTGTGGTGTGTGGCCTCCCACTTTCTCAGAACAGCAGCTTCTTACAAACATGTTAGTCACAGCTCCTGACTGTTGTCAGTGGTCGTTGTTATCAGACGTGTTGATGTCAGATGTGAGGAACGAATGGGACAAAGGACAAAGAATTATATCGATCCATGAATCACTGCTTTTTCAAAGGATGTTGTGGAAAAAAACTCCTAAAACAACCCAAACTATTTATTTTGTATATTTTCACCAGGTATAATCAGTAATGCCCACCACAGGAACAAGTACAGGAAAAAAATAACGGAAGAAGATAGAACTCTTAAAGTCAATGCACAGGAGCGACGGATTCACCCAACAAGACTTTGACTGAAGCACCAGAAATCTTTGGATCATTTTTATGGTTTTACTTAAAGTTCTAATTCAGAACCATAAACTCTCTGACAGGAGTTCTTAGCCACTGAAGGTGAAACTATTTTGTCATTTCAAAATGGTTCCGTGTGCAGAATCTGTGTGGTTCAAATATGGCTTTTGGACTGTAACAGAGTACTTCGGTGCAGTACTTAGTACTTTGTTTTTCTAGTAGTGGCGACAAAATCAAAGCGTGTGAAAATGTGGTTGAACTTGTCTGACACCAGCAGCAGAAGTAAGAAACCACAACAGGAAACCAACTTCACCAGATAGCTGCACCACTTCCTGTATCTGACTGTGTCACGGTTTCTTTCACTCTCTCTCCCCCTCACACACACACACACACACACACACAACCTTAACTATTACAAGTATATATCCTTCTATAGTCATCATGTTACACACTCAATCCCACACAGACATTGTACATTTCCTCACAGTTAATCCCTAATCTTTATCAAACCGAACTCAAACTAAATGTTGAACCTTTAACCACTCTCTCACTCAGTGAAGACCTACAATAATGTCCACATCAGGACAGCTGTACTTGTGGAGACACCAGTTGTACCAGGAGTACACACACAGGAAATCTTAAAAAAACAAACAAACCCTAATTTCTGTCCATTATTGAACCACAGCAGTGTTCGGAGATAAAGAGCCACTGACATCATCTGTGTTCCCACACACACACACACACACACACTGCCTTGATGTCCTCGTCCTCCCAAACACTTATCATTTATTTGGTCTGCTGCTCCCAACATGACCGGTTCTTCTTATCGGTCAGGTTCCAAAGCAGTCCCTGATGAAACACGGTCTTATCTCCTGTACTGTGACAGTGAAGAACAGATGGTCAGGTACTGTATCTGTGGTTCAAACTGATCAGGACAACAAAGACCTAAAGACAAAACACTCATGAGTAAATACTTGATAAAGGACCTTTTTTAAGAACCTGTTCAGAACGCACTCGACACTCGAGGTGTAATAAATATAAACACACGCTGAAATATCACAATATTTCACTCTATTTTCGCTCAGCTCCCTCTGTTCCAATGTTAGAAACCTGATGTCAGGATGGAACAGCATCGTGTGTTGACTGTGATGACAGTTTTAGTACAATTGTTTAAAAAAAACCCTCAATATTTAGCCTATAGTATCACAGTATATCACCATAAATTACATCGTTGCCCCTGTATCGTGATACGTATAGTTTCGCCAGATTCTTGCCGACACACAGCTCTACTCAGCTCGGTGAGTCGGTCAAACACTGGTGTCTGTACTGCTCTGGTCTGTCACTTGGCCACATGTACAACCATTCACACTCACATTCTCATCCATGGTCAGTTTAGAGTGGACAGCTGTTTTGGACAGTGGGTTGAAGATGGAAAGAAGAATATGAGAACTCCGCAGAAGGAAAGAACCTCAGTTACCACCAGGGGATCGAACCAGTGACCTTCTCGTTGTGAGACAAGTCCACTGACGTGCAGTCGAAAGATGCATTACAGCATAATTGGTGTCTGATTTAGTTCATGATAGGACTGGCCTGTACTGAGGCCCAGAGGGGCAGTGTGGAGCAGCTGACGTCCCTGCGTGTCCACATGGTTATCTGTTGAAAACACCCGTCCTCTTCCCCTCCATCTGTTACTCTTTTTCCAAAATACACCTTTTTTTTTTCTTCCCTTTCACTCAGTGCCACGGGAAACATCTGCTGCAGCATGAAATATAGTGATTTTACAGGAAACACACACACATCCACAGTGTTGGACGGGTGTGAAGGTGTGAATGGACGACTGTAAGTAGACAATAACAGTGAAGAACCGCTGTGATCCATCACATTAATACACAGACGACTTCCCTGAAGCCATGGTTTGTTTAAAACGGCACGGTGTGTGGATTAACGTCCGACCGTCATCCAACGGTCAGGGTGGTGAAACCAGTCATGTGATGGTTTATTCTGTACATTCCTCATGTCACGATGCCTCTATAGTCTCACCATTAAATCCACCAACTCATTATCTGTGGAGAACACACACACACACTTCATCGCAGCTTTACAGCGTGAATAACGGTCACATTTTTTACTCTAAACATTTTTGTCTAAATATTTTAGTTTTGTCCAGTTATGCATCAAGGCTCCTTTAGTTCAGTTTTTTTTTTGTAGGAGAATTCTGTTTGACTGTCCCTTTAAAGTGTATTGTATTCTTAGGTGTTTTTGCTTTCTTTACGCAGTATATTTATTATCTCAATACTAGAAAAGTTAGTACACCTTATACAGTGTACATATATACAAATACTTATATACAAACTGTATATACATACACATATAAATGTATATATATGAGTATATTTATTATCTCAATACTAGAAATGTTAGTACACCATATACAGTGTACAAATACTTATATACATACTGTATATACATACACATATAAATGTGTATATATATATTTACAGTATATATAAATATACATCAATGTATATATGTATACATATATGTATATTTATATATGTATACATATAAACATACATATATTTATGCATATATGTATTTTTCCTTGAAAGTGTAAACATGTTTCTGGTTTTAGATTTTTAAAGAAGAAAGAAAAAAAACCATGAGAGTTTATTTGTGCGCTGTTAAAAAAATCAAACTCTTCTACACAGATATTCTACACTGATCTTCTAACTGATGTTAATGAGCAGCAGAGCAGCAGCTGAACATGTCGGTTGTATCTCCGTCAGCGCACTGACCATCTGAGATCCATCCCCACCGACTGAGTTTCTCTTTTATGCTCCGACCGTGATGTGGAGCAGCAGGAACATGTTGGACGTGGGGCCGGTGCTGCCGGTGGAATCACAGCAACAGGAAGGAGCGAGGAGGCGACAAACCCACAAAGAGTCCGGCAGCTGTTTGAGGAGCTCGTGTCGGGCACATCGGCCACGAGCAAACATCTGGAAAAGACATCAGGAGACGTCGGGGACAGGGAGTGTGGAGTGTGGAGAATTCTCCTCACAACGTTGGTCTCCTCCAGAACAGCTGCCTGGCTGCTCTGCTGGATGCACAGTAGGCCTGAGGCTTGTCATTTCATGATGGAACACAAACAC